GTAGTTAATACTAGAGGGATTTGACCTCCAGGCCGACTGGCTGTGATAATCAGCTGTGTCTGCAGTGGAAGAACTTGTGTCCTCTAGGGAGGTGCTAATCTAGCCTTTGCCTGAGGCTATCCGGCAAATGCCTCTGTGCAGGGCTTGGGCGGGGCAGATCCCACGGGATCAACAGGGCGGAGGAGGGAGCAGTTATGGCTGCTCTCAGTCTGTCCCCAGGGGCTCTGCCTCTCTGTCCCAGCAACCGCTGCAAACCTCGGAGGGACCGTAGCCAGACAGTCCTGCTTCTCCCGTTTGAGTCTGGGTCCCTAGAGACTCGCCCGGATCTGGAGCTCAGAGTCTGAGGCTCCCTCCGGATTGAAACAGACAACCGCGCCCTCAGCCACCAGCCCGCGCCGCGCACACTCCGCACCTTACTATTTTACTTCAGCACTGCGCCTCCTCTGATTCTCGGTTCCTCCTAGTTGTAGAACTTCCACTCAGCCAGCCTTCCTGTGGTTCTGGATGATGTCCGTTCCGTCTTTTAGTTGTATTTTTGAAGTGGTTGTTCGAGGCAGCAGACTCCGGCGTTAACCTATGCCGCCATCTTGGTTTCTCTCCTGGAGACTTTCCAAATAAAAAAATTTGGCAGGAACCAGCCCTTGTTTGCACTACAGACTCAATAAAATGCTCAACTTCTTTAGGCATGTCAGCTGTTCTTGCTCACAAAATAAGTGGTATGTGCTTGTTACTACTGTGCTGCTTAAACATAGACTTGGGGAAGTAGGTATTCTTGCTTTTGCCACTGTTTAATTGTGGACTGGGAAAGAGGCAGTCGATTCATCCTCCTAAGGAAGGTGGCCAGCCAAGGGACATGGAGGACACACAGGGACCGTCATGTGGCATTGTGGTACAATGCTATGTGGCACAGTAGCCACATGTGGCTACTGAGCACTTGGAAAATGGCTGGTCCAAGCTGAGATGTGCTATATATATAGCACCTGCTTACTTCCTTTGTTTCTCATTCACACCATCTTGCTAGGACTTCATATAAAAAAGATTATAAAATATCTCATTAATAATTACATTGATTTTATGTTGATGCGATACTATTTGAAGTTGATTGGGTTAAATAAAATATATTACTAAAATTAATTGCACTCATTTTTTAGTTTTTAAAATGTGAGTACAGTGGAACCTTGGTTCTCAAACTTAATTTGTTCCAGAAGACTTTTTTATTTATTTAATTTTTTAAATTCTCACCTGAAGATATTTTTCCCATTGATTTTCAGACAAAGTGGAGGGAAGGATGGTGGGTGGTGGGGGTGTGGGGAGAGAAACATTGATGTGAGAAAGACACATCACTTGATTGCTTCCTGCACATCCTGGGGCCTGGAATTGAACCCACAACCAAGGTATGTGCCTTTGAGAATCGAACCCATGACCCTTTGGTCTGAGAGCCGATGTTCTGACCACTGGGCAATTGGCCAGAGCCAGAAGGCTCTTTGAGAAGTGATTCATTCCAAAACCAAATCATTTTTTTCCATTAGATTCACAGCACAATTTCCTGAGATATTAACAATGCAAGGTTAGCGGTAAACTGACTCATATTTGCTCATTCTCTTTTGTCTCTTGTCAGATCAAGAACCGAAGTTTTGTTCAACAACCATTACATTATTTTCTGTGAACAACTTGGTTAAGAACTTAATTATTTGAGATGGGAGATATTCAAGAACTGAGGTTTGACTGTATTAAAAAATTTAAAATTACAAGTGTGGTTCTCCTTATACTGGACCTCTTGCCACTTTTGCTGAGGGCTCTATGAGCTGGCACGGTCCTCCCTTGGTGTGCGAATGGCTTGCCAATCCTGGTGGTGGCTCTTTTGCCATTTTCTTAAGGGATGTTTTCGATTTCTCTCAGTGTCCTGGTATGTGACCTCTGAGTCACTGCACTGTGACCTCTGGTATCTGTGTGACAGTCATGTCAGGGTTATACCAGGAGATGCATCCTGAGAGCTTAGAAAACATACAAGTCACCCAGCACCCTCGGCCTAGTTTGTGAAGCAGAGTGACTTTGAGAATTAACAGAGAAAGGACAGTTAGGGCATACCTCCAGGCCCCATAACTCAGCCACACCTCAAGGCCTCATAACTCAGCCTTATTTAGGATGACTAGGGAATGAGGAAACAGAAAACAAATCTGTGTACACACTCTAAAGCCAATTTAATTTTCTGTGGGAGTGGTTGTTGGGGTGGAAGGAAGTAGAAGGAAGGTGCCACCAGAGTCGCTCACAGTGCTTGTTTGACAGGCCTGGTCTGGATGTGGATTTCGGTGGACTCTTCTCTAAGTTCTATATCCTGATCTGCACTGAAGGGAACCATGGTTGCCTGCTGAGAGCCCGTTTCCACCCTCAGCACAGCACAGCACAGCACAGCACAGCACAGCACAGGGTGGCTGTTTACAGTCCGGGGCCTACAGAACAGTTCAACTGGAAATGAACTTGACCACACTTTGATATGATTTACAACGACAGAGGGTGCAGAGAGAGCTGTAGGGGTCTGTGCAGCCTGATCACTCAGCTCAGGAGAAAGACCTCGGGGTGTCAAACCAGCTGCACATGTGCGGCAAAGGCCAATCATCCAGGGAACATTTTGTGCAAGTATCTGGTAGAGCAGTCTTCTTATCACACTAACAATGGAGGTAAGTTAGGAGGGAATAGTTGACCAGAGAAAACGTCATGAAAGGACCTGCATGACATGGTGGTAAGCTCTGATTTTTTTAGTACGCTGTTTGGGCCTCAGCCCTGTGAGATCATTCGAATGAGAGATGGAAAAGACCTCCTGTATTAGGTCATCCAGCCCAGCCCCTCCAGAGCCGGCTGACCCTTTGGTATACTTTCCAGAGCACCGTCCAGTTTTTCAAGTGATTCAACTGATGGAGTTTCCACCAGCTCCAAGAGGGTGCAGAAAGGTAGTGCCTGGGCTGAATGGCCCAGTTATGATCTGCTGGTGTCTCAGGATGAAGACTCAGTAATGATGCTGTGTTTGGAGAGAGATATGGGGTAGTCCTGCCTCTGCCACCAACCTGTATGTGACTGCATGGATGACCTCAGCTCTGCTCGTCCCTGTCCCTTCCACAAATGGGCTGGCACTGGGCACCTGCAGGCCAAGCATACTGAGGCTTAGCTGAAGTACCACACATAGCACCTCACAGTTTTCACATTTGTAACCTCATTGGAGCCTCATCATTCCTGGCTGATCTTATTATCCTTCTGGCCATCATCCTGCCTTGACTCTGTTTCTTGTTAAGCAGAGGAAGTAGTCCTCCCAGGCAGTGGGTGGTGGCCAGGTGATCAGGCATTTCTTGTGATTCTAAGCGTAGAGCTGCCGTGTGACAGCACAGGTACCATCCCCGCCTCCTGACACTATATGGGGCCATTCACTCTGCTCCCCTGGGGGTAGCATTTGTCCTGGACCACCTGGTGGGACCTGGGGCTGTTGTCATTGTGGGGCATGATGTATTATCAACATACTAGAGGCCCAGTGCACAACATTCATGCACTGGGGTGGGGGGGGGACCCCTTGGTGCATCTCCCCCAAGGGGCCCTTAGGGCTGCCGCAGAGGCAGGGCTCCCACCACCACCACCATGGTGCTTGCCAGCTGTGAGCCCCGGCTTTTGGCTGAGCAGCGCTCCCCCTGTGGGAGTGCACTGACCACCAGGGGGGCAGCTCCAGCATTGAGCGTCTGCCCCCTGGTGGTCAGTGCACATCATAGCAGCCAGTTGTTCTGCTGTTTAGTTGATTTGCATATTAGGGTTTTATTATGTAGGATTGGACTTGGGGTCTTTTGGGGTGGTCATCCAGGCTGATAACTGCTGACATCCATCCCTATGTGACATGGCATTTGATCCCCTGGGACAAGCAAGGCTCCGCAGTCTCTCATACTGCTATTCTGTGTTCCTGCTGCTTGGCCTAACCAGTGATTGAAAGTTTCCCTAAAAGAGGCATTAACATTTATAGCAAGTAGTTGGTCATTATAATTTCTCTTAAAACCATTCCTTTTGTCAGCTTGAGAATATTAAATGTTTCAGCCCAGACTCAGTAAGAATATAGTTAAAGTACATTTCACAATGCAGTTTGTCTCAATAGACTTGTGATAAAACGGCCACTCTTAATGGTATGAAGGCTGACATGCATGAGTCACAAGTAGGGGAGGGCCTTCAGTTCAGCCTCCACCCTGTGGGCGCCCACCAGCCTCCCCTGTGGCATCACTGTGGTTTGTGGCATTTCTGTGCCCTCTCTGTATTCTCACCCTGGTCCCTTCTTTACCTCCTAGAGCCCCAGACCCTGTGCTTCCTGGTTAGTTCCCTTGTTTCTCAGTTTCTCAGGTTCAGGGCATGTGGGGACGGGGGGGGGGGGGGGGGGAGTGGCCTGTGCTGTGTGATTTGAGTTATTAGTGCTGTATTCTATTCTGCCTTTTGTATTTGTATGTGAAATGAAATATTTCAAACACACAGACAAGAAAAGGATTTTGCTTTTCTTTTTACATATTGTTTTTTGAGCTTCAGTGTTCAGTTAGGTAATTGGGTGCAGACAGGTAATGAACATAGTGATTGGGCAGAAGCTGGAACTTGGATCCTAGTTGTTGGCCCCAGCTCTCTGGTTCTCCTGTGTCTGTCACCCCTCTACTACCGCTGGAATTCCTCATGGATGTGGTAAGGCATTGGTGATGCAGCATACTGCGGGCTGGAACAGTAATGCCCCAGGGACTCGAGGTCAGAGTGCTGCCCATGCCTGGAGCAAGGCCAGGGGCAAATGCATCATCTTCCAACAGCTCTCCAGTCAGTGGCAGAGCCAAGCTGAGACCCAAACCCAAGCTGTAGCTCGGCTCCACCGTGGGACAGAGGGTGTGTTATCACCACTGACTTACAAAATTCCTTAAGCATTGTAAAAATGGTGGAAAGAAGTCTATTTTGAGAGTTTAAGGAAAGTAAGCCCCTCCTGTCTTTGTGCTTCTCTCCAGATCCTTGGGAAGCTGAAGGGTCTTGCCTTGGATGCTGAGGCGGAGTTGGAGAGACAGGATGAGGCATTGGATGGCATCGCCACTGCTGTGGACCGGGCAACCTTAACCATTGACAAGCACAATCGACGAGTGAAAAAACTGACCTAGAAGGACAAGAGAGGGTAGAGGTGAGAGCTTTTGATGAGAATCGCATCTCAGTATGTTGTCCTCAACCCCTGCATGCTGCCTTCAGATGACCACAGGAGGTCATTCTCAGGGCCAGAGAAAAACTTGCGGTCCTGCCTCAGAGGCATACCTGCCTCAGGACAAAGGCTGCTGTGAAGGACCTGGGCAGCCACGGAGGGGTCCTCTGCAGGGCCCTGAAGGTGCAGCTGCAGGAGAGGAGTTCTGCCTGTGGACACAGCAAACGGTATCCCGCCAAGGCCCTCTCGAGCTGCTGGTGCCGTCAGGAGCACCCATGCACTCAAGCACGTGGCTGAGCCCTGGTGAGCCCTGCACAGCTGCGTGGTGGCTCTTCATTCAGATGCTGGTCTGCACCCAGCACTGAGGGACCACTTTGCATGGCCTTATCCCAGGTCTCCAGCATCACCAGTAGCTGCATTATCATCCTTTCTCCACTCTTGTTGGGCATAAAAGGAAGGTTTAAGCCTCTGTGAATAAAATCTGCTTTTTTTAAACTGTGGGTCTAAGCACTGCAGGTGTACCTTGTATCGACACAGTCCCTTCTCCAGGACCACATGCCTGAGCCTGCTCCCCTCTGTGGGCCGCTAAGCAACCCACCGCCCTCACTTGTTCCATCTCTCTGGTGGGAAGGCCAGTTTCTTTTTGGTTGTATTGTCATTTTCTAACTAAAGCTAAGAGTCTAGCATACCTTGAGGTCATCATATACTAGTAAACACCTGAAATACTATTTCATTGCTCAGTTTTTAGCCAAAGGTGAAAATAGTATATATTGCACCTATTTAAAAGGTTTTGATTTTTGCTTTTACTGCCCCATTTCTCTCCAGAAACAAAAGAGAAATGGTAGTGTTAGGATTTTTTGTGAAGATACACATTGATGCTGCTTTTTGCTTGGTTTGGTGTCCATGAGAGGGCCCCATGAGGGCAAAGTGGAGGAGCGTGCATCTCCCAGACCGCTTTGAAATAGCATCCTGGGAGGCTGTACACAGAGAGGCTCCTTGGATCTTGAGGAGTGTCTACAGTTCGTGGAACAGCGCCTTCAGGCCCTGTGCCTGCTGTGTTTGGAGTCATGGGTGGATTCAGGGAACTGCCCTGGGCAGTGCTAGATTTCTGAGCTGACCTTAGGAATTCCACACAGAGTATACGACAACAGGAGTGTGCTCTCCAGGTTTGGAGGCCAGTAGTCCAAGGTCAGGGTGTTGCAGGGCTACGCTTCCTCCTGAGGCACTTAGAAGCTTCCAGTAGCAGAAAATCCATCTGAGTTGATGACTCGAGCCCAAAACACAGAAACCTATCTGTTTAAACCCACTAACAATAGCCAGGCTGAGGCAAAAGTGCCAAAAACCCTGACACTAAGAACTCCCACAGCCCCTGCTCCCCCAGGTACTCACTTCTACACTCCCACTGCTTCCCACTCCAGGTGCACTAACTCCAC